TACTATACTAGAAGTTTAAATAAATGAATAAATAAATAAATAATTAAATATTCGGAAAGAAAACAATAAATACAAACGTTATAAATTAAAAATTAAAATTCGCATATACACATTAATCGTTTCTACATTTCTGAAATAAAAGCTTTAAAAACATTTAATGAGTCAGGAATCACAGGCAATGTTAAATTGTTCCAGTTCCTAATTGTCCTGGGGTAAAAGGAGAATTTAAATGTATCGTTCAACGTGCGAAGTTGAACGAATGGTGTGCAGTTAGGAAAACGTGAGGCTGTTGTTATGGGTGAGATCTCCTCTGGTAAAGAGATGCCAACAAAACCTTTGTAGATTTTATAAAACATGCACATCTGATTGAGTAATCTGCGATGCTTTATAGAGTCCCGACCCAGTGTGTTGATCATCTCCGAAACATGACTAGAACGGGAATAATCATTGAACACAAATCTGGCCGCTCCACGTTGAACCATCTCGATCTTATCAGTATTACACCGCTTGTAGGGATTCCATACGTTGCTAGCATACTCTAGTTTAGGGCGAACAAGAGCAAGGTAAACTTCAACTAAAGACTTGCTTGATTTGCTTTTTCTTTTTTTGTAAAGGGCGATTGTTATCTTCACTTGACTTTTTATTATCGTTTATTCTCCTCTTTCCAAAATACGATTCAACTTTATTTGGTAGGGGTTTGAATATGGCGCACTGTACGCAGTTGAGCTATCAGTATCGGCATATCTGTTCTAATCGGAAGCTTTTTGTTAAAAAAAGGCAATCAGCTACGTTTATCCGGCATGAAAGGGAAATGAGATTACCTGTCTTTGTAGCTCTCCATCTTATTTGCGGGCGTCGTTTTCATTGCTGAAACTGAAAATAAAAAATGTCAGCTGGCCTCACAATGGCGATCACCAATCATACCGACTTTTGTTATGGCTCAAGTTTGGCAAAAATATATCTTTTTTCTTTCCGTTAATTGAGTGCATTAAAACGTTCATAACCTTGAGCTTACCTAGAACACTTTTTCTTTGCCTTAAACTCTTAAATATCCACATAACCATCAAGTAGCGAGGGAAGCATTTTAGTAGTTTGATAAAGCAAGCCGCACAGTCGGTTCGTAAAAGTTTTCCTTTGTTAAAACCAAAATCTTTTTATCGAAAATGGACTACATGGTTAGAGACTTACCTTTATTCGCATTGGTTGGTTCTCTGTAGATGGCTATAAATATTCCGAAAGACCCGTAAAGGTAAAAAAAAAAAAAACTAATCCAAGAGGTAACGAAAACCATCTTGGCATCTGGTTTGTTTTCGTGAGACTGATTCGTTATCGGGTTGCGTCACAATTGCCCTTTCTTCTGTCAAGCACGCGCTAGAAACAGAAATTGATGAAGTAAGCCATGAATTTTTGTCCGTTGAGCGTATAACCTTGGAATATTTCATCGTGATCTTTAGGTGCTGCAATCGATTTTCTCACGCATATCAATTGGAAACAACATCGTACGCACTGAAGCGAAAAGAAATTAATCCTTAGACCAAGGTAATTATGATTTTATCAAGTTGAACTCAGTTGATAACGTATTTTGACCACCGTTATAATTAAGAGTTTCAAAGCTGACGTCTCTAGCGTAAGCCTTTCGTCAGAGCGAGTTGACGAAGGGCTAGCGAAACGTCAGCTTCGAAACTCTTTTCGGTGGCCAATTGAATAATGAACTCAGTTGATAAAACCATGATTATCCTGCCCATACAGTGAAAACCCGCATATAAGAACCTAGGACTTTCCAAGTTGGCCTCCGTAGGCTCTTATACAAATGGTGTTTATTGTGAAGTTAGACTACCTAGGTTACCTAGACAACCTACAGCAGGTCTTTCTTTATTGTTTGAAAAAGAAGAAACTTCTCTTCATGGGTGTAAGTGTGATACAGACTGTATACCAACCTCATAGTTGCTTTACTCAGTTAACTTATTAACACAGTTGGATATGTCGCACAACTATGGATGTAATGACAGTACAGTATTGAGATCTTGTAGCACTGTCAGTGCTATGGCTAGTTTTTGTTTTTGTATCCCATGTGATGCACTATGATATTTTTGAAAATAATCTTTACTCTAAAAATAAGAACTTATTAAAATTTTAGCCTATAATGGTTCTTATGCAGTGTTTAAAAAACGAGCGGCAGTGTTTTATCGGGTTTAAAAACACGAGGCGGAGCCGTGTGTTTTTCGAGC